CTTTATACAATATTTGATTCGATTTTCACTTGTATCTAAATCAATAATTTTAATTCATAAATACTTTATAGTTAATTAAAATGTGGGTAACATGTCCAAGAACTTTGTATGCATATTAAAGTTTCTAAATAAGAATGATCCTTTTCAAATATAAAGAATACGACCGGTCAAAAGGCAAAATGAAATAAGTTTATAATCTACATCCTTTTTAAGTTGAATTATTTTATGATTAAGTGATTAATTGATAAATTCAAGAGTTGGATAATCGTTTTACAAAATTAAACATTAAGTTTCTTTGTATAATGTAACAACCCGACTGGTCGCTACACACAGCACAACAAAATAACACTATACAGAAAAGAGCATGTATATATATATATATAAACAACTAAAATATATATACAAGGTCCAATGTAAGGCTAAGAATCAGAGTATACAAAATACACCCAGCAATGCTATACTAAAAGCTAAAACAGCAAAATCATCAAGAAGAATAAGTTCCATCTGCCAGCTGCAGACCTGTCTCAACTCACCAACCTAACCATGCTCTGCTCCCATACATAGTATGATCATTGCAGTCCAAACCACATGAAAACAACAAAGGGTAAGCTAGTGAAAAGAATCAACATACATATATAAGAATACATGAATGGTAAACAACTACAACTATCAGCACATCAATCTAGTTCAACAAAATCAACATACAACACCACATATACAGCTCACATCATTCAACAATAACCGCAATAAACAAACAATGCGTCGTCACGCATATCAGCTAGATTTGGTCGCTTATAAGCGGTATAGCTCGACCTTGCCCCTATACCGTGGTCGCTTTATAATCGGTATAGCTCGACCTTGCCCCTATACCGTGGTTGCTTTATACACGTGTGCCTCGACCTTGCCCGTACACGGGACCAACTAAGTACTTAGAGGAGAACAACACAGTGACCACTCCAAGGGGCAGTTTCCCAGGGAGGGTTTTCAACAAATTGGGCTCTAAGAGCACCACAGCTACCTCAATCCACACAATGGGATGAGAAATTTTGAAAACATCTCCTCTAGTCTTAGTGATCAACAGCTCAGCCTTACGGCCTACAACAGCTCATATCAGCATGCAGCACAACATAATAATAACATCAATAACAGCATACGACACAGCTTAATAATATACAACATAGCTTAATTTGTTGTATATTAATAATGGGGTAGAGGGTGTCACACAATTAGCTTATCCATTTATTATCCGTAACGAATTTTACCCACAGATACTCGCGGGTGCTGGTATTTTTGTCATCCTTAAATTTGTGTAAGAAAAAACGTGAAAAAAATTACTACATAACTAATAAAATTATATCGTAATTTTTTTAAAAACAATAAATACAATAAACTAATAAAATATACAATTACTTGAGAAACATTTGTTAGATTAACATAGTATACCGTGAATAAAATATAACGTATGTTATAAATAACGGATAAAAATATTTTTATACTTGAATTTTTATTTATTTATTTTAAAATCATCCAAAATTAATAATTAATGTTTTATCACATAATTTTATGATAAAATTATCAAATTATGTTCATTTTCTTCATCTTTATGAGTAAATTAAGAAATATAACTTGATATTTTAACCCAATTGATTATACACTCAACAATAATTCATGTGAGATAAAACTTATTATATTTAATATAATCAATTATAATATTACGTTTAATTCTTTATGTGATTTAAAGTAATTAAATATATAGTTTTAATTACTTAAAGATGTTATGACTAAATTAATTAAAATTATATGCATCACAAGACAAATATATATATATATATATATATATATTTTAAGTTCTCAAAAATAGAAAGCTACTATAATTTTAAAAATTTATGTTTCTTACAATCGTAAAGATTTGAGACACACACCATTTGACATCAAACACGCATTCATTTGAGTTGCAAATTACGTGGTTTTAATTACTAGTAACATAATGTAATTAAAATTTAACCCAAAGTGAATAAATTGTTACTACTAATAATAATTAACTATAGACATTAAGGGGAGTGTATTGGATTAAGATTTTAAAGGACTTTTTTAGTTAAAAAAAATCTTGCGGATTTTAAAAGACTTTGCAGGATTTTCATGACTTTTAAGATTTTGCAGGATTCTACAAGACTTAAAATCAGGATTTTAATGGATTCTGCAAGACTTTTAAATCAGGATTTTAATGGATTCTGTGGGATTTTGTAGAATTTTCGTGGATTTTTTACATTTGATAAGATTTCATAAAAAATTTCATACATTCAAATTTAAAAAGAGTCAAAGACAAAAATAATAAAAAA